ACAACAACAACAACAATGATAACAATGAGAATATAAATTCAAGAAATCAAGAGCTCATTGACAAAATATTAAATATCAGAACTGATTTCAGAGGGACACTGCAGAGAAAGTATGATAATCTGAAAATGAAACTAATGAATTTCACTATAGATAAGGAGTCCTAAAGGAGCTCTGGTAGTGCAGTAGTAACGAATCAGGCTGCTAACCTCAAGGTCATCAGTTCAAAACTACCAGCCATTTCGTGAAAGAAAGATGAGGTTTTCTGCTCCTGTAAAGATTTACAGCCTCGGAAACCCTATACAGGGTCACTATGAGTCGGAACCGACTCCATGGTAGTTAACAACAACAACAACAAAGAGTCCTAGTGTGGAACTGTAGGATCAGCACTGGACTGCTAACCACAAGATTGGTAATTCAAACCCTCCAGCCACTCTTTGGAAATCCTATACAGGGTTGCTGTGAGTCAGACCTGAATCTACAGCACTTAACAACAACAGCATAGATAGGAAAACTCTAACATATTAAAAGCGAATACAGAGGAAAAAGTCACATATTAAAAGTTATTAAAGGAGGTCTTTCTTTGTCTCCAGGGAGGCAGCTGCTTGCTCTTGCCATGTGCTGGTGTTTGAGGACTCTCCCTTCTCAGGTTTACCAACAGCATGAATCAAGATAAGTTAGCCAAACTTCAGGCTCAGGTCCAGATAGGGGTCAAGGGTATAGATTGCAGAAAGAAGAAGGTGGTGCATAGAACAGCTACAGCTGATGACAAAAAGCTTTAGAGTTCTCTTAAAAAAAAAACTGGTTGTGAATAATATAGCTGGTATTGAAGAGGTGAACATGATTAAAGATGATGGGACAGTTATTCACTTTAACAATCCCAAGATCCAAGCTTCTCTCTCTGGTAACACTTTTGCAATTACTTCTATGCTGAAGCCAAACCAATCACAGAAATGCTTCCTGGAATATTCAGTCAGCTTGGTGCTGACAGCTGAACAAATCTAAGGAAGTTAGCTGAACAGTTTCCAAGGCACATGTTGGATAGCAACACACCAAAACCAGAAGACATTGATGAGGAGGAGGATGATATTCCAGATGTCATAAAAAATTTTGATGAGGCATCAAAAAATGAAGCTAATTAAAATCTTTTCTGATTTTTGGAAGCTGTCATGGACTAGATTTAGCAGGTCAGCTATGTGGTTCCAAAGTTTTACAGACACGGAGAACATCACCTGTCACTTGTTCAGTAATATAAATATTTTGTATCTCAATAATGCTGTTTGTTCAGCAGTTTTGGTCATTTGATTTTGCACTTCCTCCTGGGATCTAATCTTTTGGTCAAAATGCAAAGTATCTTTGCATTTGAGGGTATTTTTGTTTTTTTATTCTTGGTTTTATTGTTTTTTGTTGGGGAGTTTTTGGTGTGTCTGTATGCATGTGGGTGTGGGTGTTCAGTGGAGAGCAAATTGGAAACAATCCTATTTATCCTTCCCCTCTCCCCAACAGAAATAAAACAAATCTTTACATTTGTAAAAAAAAAAGTTCTTAAAGGAAATTTAATGTAGTGCTGTAAGATAAGCACTGGACTGCTAACCACAAGGTCACAGTTCAGACCCACCAGCCACTCCTCAGAAACCCTATACCTACTCATTCTGAGTCAGAACTGACTCGATGGCACTTGATAAAAACAATATAAATACAAGTAGAATTACAGCACGTAATTTAATACATGAGAATTGTTGTTGTGTGCCATCGTGTCGATTCTAACTCATAGTGATCCTGTAGAATAGAGTAGAACTACCCCATAGAGTTTACTAAGTTGTTAAATTTCTAAGAGCAGATAGACCTTTTCTCCCTGAATGGGTTTGAACTGTAGAACTCTCAGTTAGCAGCTGACTTCCTACCACTGCACTACCAGGGCTCTTTATATGGGAATTAGTGTTCCTGAAAATGGAGAGCCCAAGAACTAAAACAGAAAAGCTATTTTTTTTTTTCATGATATTTATGATTATGTGCCTAACATGAAGGAAGATGTTTTTCCTGATTATGACTATCAGGAGTACTTTGGATATGTTATCAGAAGGAACCAATCCCTGGAGATAATGATGTTTGGAAAAGTGGAGAATGTGAAGGAATTCCCCCGTTCAACCAAACCCATCCAACAAGATCTATTGATTCAGTGGCATTAACAATGGGCTCAAACATAACAATTGTGAGGATGGTTCAGGACCTGGCAGTGTTTCATTCTGTTGTGCATAGGGTCACTGTGAGTTAGAACTAACTCGATGACACATAACAACAACAACAACATTCAGGGTTGTTTAGAGAATTTCATGAGAGAGTATGTGTAAATGCCTAGTATACACAAGATGTTAAATAGATGGTAGCTTTCATCAGTGTTGTCATTTGTTATTAAGTTCCCTAAGGGGATGAAAGAAGTCCTGGTGTGGCACTGTATGATATGCACTCAACCATAATGTTGATTTGAACTGCAATGTTGGTGGTACAAAGTTACCAGCCATTCCTAGAAACTCTATACAGGGTCGCTATGAGTCTAGACTGGCTACACAGCACTTAACAACAAACAACAAAGGGATGAAAAATGCTTTCTTGTTTTCATTAGCTTATTTAATAGAGCTACATTACTATACTCTGCAATACAAATAGGCCTTTCTCTAAGTATGAGTTTACAGTAACTGTATTAGATATTTTTCTTGAAATGCCTTGCAGGTTCATTTTTGCAGGGAGCAGAGAAATCGATATCCCTGGTTCAAGGAGGGAGAAGTGAGTATGCAGCAGCTTTGGCATGGGAGAAAGGGAGCTCCGGACCAGAGGAGAAAACCTTTTCTGAGTGGTTAGAATCAGTGAAGGACAATCCTTCTGTGATTGGCTTTGAGGTAAGATTAAAATATATTATGGGTAAAAGCTTAAGTAGTTCTATAACATCCTAAATTTCACATCATACAATTTCTTTTTTCTATTTTCCTCTCAGATAATAAAGGAAATATCTTGTTACTGTTCATGCACAACCTACCTCTTTTTCTTCTAATGCTTAATTCTTCATCCATTGTTTGTGCTATTGAAACTAGCATTCTACAGGACAGCATTTAGAATTCTTAACATGCATGAAATACCAAGGAAGAGAAATTAGTGAGTAAATGTACTCAGACTAGCATTGAGTATTACTCTTCATCTTCCCATGTATCCATTATGTCTGATTTTGGTGGTTTTCTTGCCACATTATCTGATGAGCACTCCTAAATCTTCATCTATAGCTCTGTGACATAAATGGAATTTTAGAACCATTTGGCAACCTTCTTCTATCCCTATTGCTTGATTTTACCAGTAGTGTATTTGCATATTTATTATAAGGACCCCTGTTGTAGGATCAGCACTAGACTATGAACCACAAAATTGATAGTTCAAACCCACCAGCTGCTCCTCAGAAACCCTACATAGGGTCGTTATGAGTCAGAACCAACTCAATGGCACTTAACAACAATAACAATAAATACTTGTTATACAGATCCCTGGTAACATAGGAGATTATTAGCTGGGCTGCTAAATACAAGATCAGCAGTATGAATCTACCAGTCGCTCCGTTGAAGAAAGATGAGTCTCTTTGCTCCTGTAAAGATTTACAGCCTCTGAAATCCTACCCAGGGTCATTATGAGTCAGAACCTACTAAGTAACACACAACCACCACCACCATCATGTTGTTATACAAGGAGCCCTGGTTGAATACTGGGTTATGATTGGGACTGCTAATCGCAAAGTCAGCAGTTCAAATCTTCCAGTTGCGCCACAGGAGAAAGATGATACTTTCTGCTCCCATAAATATTAAAAGCCTCAGAAACCCCATACAGAGTCACTGTGAGTTGGTACTAACTCCACAACACACAACTACCATCACAGTTATACATAGCAGGCCCAATGGCATTTAACAATAACACGTAGTTATATAAAGACGTGATTTTTATTATTTATGGATTACATTGCACACATATCAGCCATATGTCATTTAGAACCAGTTTTATCTGAAACATAACCACATAAAAAGACCTCCAAAGAGGATATTATGTTCATTTAAAAGAAATAAGAAGAGTTCAGTCATTGTAAAACTGGAATCATTTACATGCAACACTAGATACTTTGAGATCTAAAGGTTATGGTAAGAAGGCAAGATTTGCTCAACCAGCTCAGTACTTGTGAAACACACACTGAGCTATACGGTCATTTTGGGGAATTTAAAATGTTAGTAAAATAAACTCCGATTGTGATTTAGCTCCATTTCTTAATTGTAATTTTTCTATTCAAACTAGCAGCAACTTCATTTCTTCAGTATTTCCCACTACACATTGTTTCCCACCAATCATAAGTCTGTTTGTCATGCTGTGGTGGCTTGCATATTGCTGTGATTTTGGAAGCTATGCCAACAGTACTTAAAATTACAGCAGGGCAACCCATGGCTGACAGTTTTAGCTGAGCATCCAGAAGAAGACAAACATGGACTATTAACAAAAAGCAGAGATGGACTACTTACAAATATTTAGTTACTGAAAACCTTATGAAAGTTGTTGTTAAGTGCCATCGAGTCAGTACTGACTCATAACAACCTTATGCACAGCAGAATAAAACACTGCCTGATCCTGGACCAACCTCATTACTGTTGTCACGCTTGAGTTCCCTGATGCTGCCACTTGGCCAATCCATCTCTTTGGGGTCTTCCTCTATTTCTTTGACCCTCCACCTCACCAAGCGTGATATCCTTCTGGTCCTTCCTGACACTGTATCCAAAGTATGAGAGATGAGCACTCTGGCTGCACTTCTTCCAACATGGATCTTTTGGTTCTTTTGGCAGCCCATGGCACTTTCAATATTCTCCTCCAAAACCATAACTCAAAAGCATTAATTCTTCTGTGATTTCCCTTATTCATTGTCCAGCTTTCACATGCATATGAGGTTATTGAAAATACCATGGCTTAGTTATTTTAGCTTTTCAATACTTTAAAAAGGTCTTGTGCAGCAGATTTAACTAGTGCAATATGTCATTTGATTTCTTGACTGCAGCTTCTGTGAGTGTTGATAGTTGATCCAAGAAGAATGAAGTCCTTGACAACTTCAATCTTTTCTCCATTGATAAGAATGTTGTTTATTGGTCCAGTGGTGAGGATTTTTGTTTTCTTTATATTGAGATGTAATCCATACTGAAGCTCGTGCTCTTTGATATTCGTCAGTAAATGTTTTAAGGCCTCTTCACTTTCAGCAAACAAGGTTGTATCATCTGCATATCACAGGTTGTTAATGAGTCTTCCCCCAATCATGATGCCACGTTTTTCTTCACGTAACCCAGCTTCTCAGATTATTTGCTCAGCATACAGGTTGAATAAATGTGGTGAAAGAATACAACTTTGTCATAAACCTTTCTTAATTTGAAAACATTCAGTGTTCCCATGTTCTGTTTGAACAACTGCTTCTTGGTCTATTTACAGATTCCTCATGAGCACAATTGAGTGTTCCAGAGTACTCATATTTCACAATGTTGTCCATAGCCTGTCATTATCCACCTAATTGAAAGACTTTGTGTAGTCAATAAAGCACAGGTAAACATCTTTCTGATATTCTCTGCTTTCAGCAAAGATCCATCCGACATCAGCAATGATATCCCTTGTTCCACAGCCTCTTCTGAATCTGGCTTGAATCTATGGAAGTTCTCTGTCAGAGTATGCCTGCAGCCATTTCTGTATTATCTTTAGTAAAATTTACTCACATGGGATATCAAAAGATTGTCCGATGATTTCCTCATTCCATTGAGTCACCTCTCTTTGGAATGGGCACAAATATGTATTTCTTCCAGTAAGCCAGATAGTTGTCTTCAAAATTTTTTGGCATAGATGAGTGATTGCCTCCTATGCCACTTCACTTTCTTGGAAGATTTCAGTTTGTATTCCATCAATTCCTGGTGCCTTGTTCTGTCCCAATTCCTTCAATGCACCTTGGACTTCCTCCTCTAGGATCATTGGCTCTTGATCATATGCAATCTCTCGAATTAGTTGAACATTAACCATTTCCATTTAGTACTGTAATTCTGTGTATTCCTTCCATCTTGTCTTGATGCTTTCTGTGTCATTCAATAATTTGCTCAGAGAATCTTTCAGTAACAAAACTCAAGGCTTGATTTTTTTCTCTTCAGTTCCACCAGCTTGAGAAATGCTGAGTGTGTTCCTCCTTTTTGGTTCTCTGACTCCAGATCATTTCACATTTTGTCATAGTATTTGACTTTATCTTCTTGAGCTGATCTTTGGAATTTTCTATTCAGCTCTTGGATTGCCTCATTTCTTCCATTTGCTTTAGCATGTCTACACTGGAGAGCAAATTTCAGTGTCTCTTCTGACATCCATTTGACTTTTTCTTTCTTTCTTGTCTTCTCTATGACTTTTTGCTTTCTTCGTGTATGACGCTCTTGATGTCATCCCACAACTCTTCTGGTCTTCGGTCCTTAGTGTTTAATGTATCAAATCTGTTCTTCAAATGATCTCTGAATTCATGTGCTATAGTCAAAGTCACATCTTGGCTTTCATTGACTTGTTTTCATTTTCTTCAGCTTCTGTTTGAATTTGTATAATGAGCAATTGATGATCTGTTCCATAGTCTGTCCCTGGCTTTGTTTTGACTGATGATATAGAGCTTTTCCTTTGTCTCTTTCCACAGATGTAGTCAACTTGATTTCTATGTATTTCATCTGATGAGGTCCATGTGTATAGTCATCTCTTATGCTGTCTAGAGAAGGTAATTGAATTGAAAAAATCATTGATTTTGCAGAATTCTATCATGTGTTCTCCAGCATCATTTCTATCACCAAGGCCATATTTTCCAACTACTGATCCTTCCTCTTTGCTCCAAACCTTTGTATTCCAATCACCAGTAATGATCAATACATTGTGATTGCATGTTTGATCAATTTCAGATTGAAGAAGTAGAATTCTTCTATTCCTTCCTCACTGGCTTTAGTGGTTGGTGCATAAACTTGAATAATAGTGGTATTAAATGGGCTTCCCTATAGGTGCATGGATATTATCCTATCACAGACAGCATTGTACCTCATGAGTGATCTGTATATGTTCTTTTTGACAATGAATGCAAAACCATTCCTCTTTAATTTGTCATTTCTGGCATAGTAAACCATGTGGTGTCAGATTCAAAATGGCCAATACTAGTCCATTTTAGCTCACTAATACCTAAGATATCGATGTTTATTCGTTCTATTTCATTTTTGACAACTTCCAATTTTCCAAGATTCATACTTTGTTTATTCCATGTTCCTAATTTCAATGGATGTTTACAGCCATTTCTCTTCATTCAATGACTTCATTGCTAATATTTTTTAAACAACATAATATATAACTATACACAAACACACCCATCAGCAAATGAAGGTCCCACAGGCTTTTCTACCACAGGCTTTACTCCATTTGCGTCATGATGGTCAAGTCTACTTTGAGGAGGCAGGTCTTCTCCAGTTACATACTGAGTGCCTGCCAACCTGAGAAGCTCATATTCCAGCACTGTATCTGACAGTGTTTCTCTGCTATTCAAAAAGTTTTCAGTGACTTAATGTTTGGAAGTAGTTCATCAATCTTTCTTCCTTCTTCTGGAAGCTCATCTGAAACCTGTTCCCCATGGATGACACTGCCAGTATTTAAAATACTGGTGGCATAGCTTTCAGAATCACAGCAACTCACAAGCCCCCACAGTACAACAAACTGACAGATGAGTGGTGGAGCCTTATGAACAGAAATGAGAAATTGTCTGCACCAGATTATTGAATATTGAAACATGATGAAGAACATGAGAATACTATCAGATATAGCCAGAAGACAAACCGTCTGGTTAAAGGCACTCACAATATGACTGGGGTGAGTTTATGCCTCAAAGTTGAGTTGATGGTGATGGTAGAAATGAAGTAAACCCTTTGGGACCTTCATTTACTGGTGGGGCACAATTCAAAATGAGGGGAAAAAGCTGCAAGCCTCCATTAATAATTGGAGCACAGAATGTACAAATTACAAATCCAGGAAAATTGTAAGTTGTCAAAATTGAAGTAAACACCTAAAGATTGATATCTGAGACAGACTTGTATTGGCCACTTTGAATCTGACAATCGCATGGTTACTATGCCAGAAATTACAAATTGAAGAGCAATGGATCACATTAATCATCAAAAAGAGCATTTCAAGATCTGTTTTGAATTACAACTGTCTGTGATAGGATATTATCCATACACCTACAAAGAAGACCAGTTAATACCACTATTAATAAAACTTACATACCAACCACTAAAGCCAGTGATGATGAAATTGAAGAGTTTTTCCAAATTCTTTAATTTGAAATTTATCAAAGATGAAATCAAGTGTATTGATAATTGCTGGATATTGGAATGCAAAGGTTGGAAACAAAAAGGAGTGCTTGGAAAATAAGGCCTTGGTGATAGAAACGATGTTGGAGACCCCATGATAGAATTTTGCAAGACCAATGACTTCATTACAAATCTTTTTAAAACAACATAAAAGATGACTATACACATGAACCTCACCAGATGGAGTACACAGAAATAATTTGACTACGTCTGTGGAGAGAAATAATGGTAAAACACCATATCATCAGCCAAAAAAAAGGCCAGGAACAGACTGTGGAACAGAATATCAAATTCTCATATGCAAGTTCAAGTTGAATATGAAGAAAATTAAAACAAGTCCACAAGAGCCAAAATATGATCTTGAACACAAACACACATGAATTTAAAGCTTATCTCAAGAACAGATTTGATGCACTAGACACTAAAGACCAACCACCAGAGGAGTTGTGGGGTAACATCAAAAACATCATACAGGAAGAAAGCAAAAGATCATTAAGAAAGAAAGAAGAAAAAGACCAAAATGGATGTCAGAAAAGACTCTGAAAAGTTTCTCTCTAGCATAGAAATGCTAAAGCAAATGAAAGAAATGAAAAGGTAAAAGGACTAAATTGAAAATTTCAAAGGTCAGCTTGAGAAGACAAAGTCAAATATTATAACAAAATGTTCAAAGACCTGGAGTTAGAAAAGCAAAAGGGAAGAACACACTTAGCAATTTTCAAGCTGAGGGAACTGGAAAAAAAATCAAGCCTTGACTTGTAATATAATGATGCAGAAAGCATCAAAAGAAGATGGAAGGAATGCACCGAGTCACTGTACCAAAAAGAAATGATCAGTGTCCAACCATTTCAAGAGGTAGCATATAATCAAGAACCAATGATACTGAAGGAAGAAGTCCAAGGTGCTTTGAGGAATTGGCAAACAACAAGGTTCCAGGAATTGATAGAATATAAACTGAAATCTTTCAACAAACTGATGAAGCTCTGGAAGTATTCACTCATCTGTGCCACGAATTTGGAAGACAGCTACCCAACCAACAGATTGGAAAAGATCCATATTTGTTCCCATTCCAAAGAGAAGTGACAAAACACAATGTGGAAATCATCAGACAATATCATTAACATCTCATGCTGGTAAAATTTTGTTAAAGATTATACAAAAATGGCTGCAACGGCACATTGAAAGACAATTGTCAGAGTTTCAAGCCAAATTCAGACTAAGATATGGAATGAGGATTTCAGATGGAGCTTGTCTGAAAGCAGAAAACACAAAAAAAGATGGTTACCTGTGCTTTATTGACTACACAAAACCTTTCAATTGTGTGGCTCATGACAAGCTATGGACAACATTGTGTAGAATTAGTAGAATGCTTTATTGTGCTCATAAGAACCTGTACATAGACCAACAGGCAGTTGTTAGAATAAGGGAAAACTGAATGGTTTAAAATTAGCAAAGGTATGTGCTAGGGTTGTATTCTTTCACCATACTTATTCAATCTGTATGCTGATGATTCAAGAAGCAGGATTATATGATGGAAAACATGGCATCAGGATTGGAGTAAGACTTGACTCATTAGCAACCTGCAATATGCAGATGATACAACTTTGCTTGCAGAAAGCAAAGCGGACTTAAAATATTTACTGAGGAAGATGAAAGACCACAGCCTTAAATGTGGGTTGAATCTCAATGTAAAGAAAACAAATATCCTCACCACTGGAGCAACAAACAGCATCCTTATAAATGCAGAAAAGATGGACTTTATTTCCTCAGATTAGCCATCAACACTCACAGAAGCAGCAAATGAGGTCTTGCATTAGACAAATCTGATGCACAAGGACTCAAAGTATGTAAGAGTAAAGATGTCTGTTTGAAAGCTAAAGTGTGTCTGACCTAAGTCATGGGATTTTCAATAACCTTATATGTATGTGAAAGTTGGACAGTGACAAAGGAAGAGTGTAGAAGAATTGATGCATTTGATTATGGTGTTAGAATATTATAGGTAGCATGGGCTGCCAAAAGTACAAACAAATTTGTGTTAGAAGAAGTAGAACTAGAATGCTTCTTGACAGCCAGGACAGCTAGACTTCATTTCTTTTACACAGGACATATTATCAGGAGTGATCAGGAGTGACCAGTTCCTGGAGAATGATATCATATTTGGTAAAGTGGAGAGTTGGAAAAAAAAAAAAAAAAAAGGAAGACCCCCTTACAAGATGGATTGGCATAGTGGCAGCAGCAGTGTGTTCAAGCATAGCAAAAGTTCAGAAGTTGACACAGAACTGTTCAGTGTTTGTTCAGTTGCTCATACAGTTTCTATGAGTTGGTACCAACTCAATGGCACCTAACAACAACGCATTTTCTCTTCTGGCGTCTCCAAAAGTCATTGAATACAATCCATGGGAAAACTGAAAGCCTTTCTTACTCGTCTGCTCTAGATTTTTCTATTTGAATTAACCTTAATGCATTCAGTAGAGAGTTAATGACTAACCATGAGCTGCCAAAAGAACCAATAGATCCGTATTGGAAGAAGTGCAGCAAGAGTGCTCCTTGGAGGCCAAGATGGCCAAACTTCATCTCTCATAATTCAGATATTGTCAGGAGAGAACAGTCACTGAAGAAGGATATCATGTTTGGTAATGTGGAGGGTCAGAGAAAAAGAGGAAGACCCCCAGTGAGATGGATTGACCAAGTGGCAGCATGATGGACTCGAGTGGCAACAGTAGTGAAGTTGGCCCAAGATCAAGCACTGTTTTGTTCTGCTGTGCATAAGGTCGTTATGAGTCGGTACCAACTTGATGACACCTAACAAGAACAACTTTTTGTCATCTATCTTAGTACTTTAATTGAAGCATTTGAAAGCTAATAATTACATGATACAAGCCCAAATAAGTGACAATTGATATAATACTTCCTGCAAAATAGCTTTCCTGGAAAGATAAGTTCTAGATATATCATACCTGCATTACAATACTATTGTTAAGTTCCACTGAGTCAGTTCTGACCTAAAGTGACCATGTATAGGGTTTCCAAGTTGCAGCTGGTGAGCTTGAACCATCAACTTGGCATTTCTAAATAACCTTGCAGTCCGTGCATTAGCCCACAATTCACATCAGGACTTCTTACTACAATAACAATAAAAATCAAACCACAGTCATTGCTGTCAAATCAGTTCTAACTCATGCCAATCACAGGTGTTATAGAGTAGAAATACAGGATTTTTTTATTGTTGTTGTTTGGGTTGTATTTTTTAAGAAAGCAGATCACCAGAACTTTATTCCACTTTGTTGCTGAGTGGATTTGAACTGCTAACCTTTCCCTTTATAGCCAAGAACAAACCATTTGCATCACTTAGAAACAGAAAAAGTTGGCTAATTTGCAGACAACTGTTGAACCCAGTCTAGAGGGTAGAAAATTTTCTCCACCATGTTCAACAGGAAGATGTACTGTATTCTGCAATAATCCTTTGATGTGTAGACTTTCCCAGGCCTTGTCTTTCTTTCTGGGAATTGGGCAATGATGGTTGCATTTTGCCAATGGGTGTGACCTCCTCTTTTCCATTTGCTTTTAGCTTGCTCCCATTGTGGACTTGATAAGAAACATCCCCTGTGCAGTGACAAAACGAAACAACCTCAGGAAAGCTTTTCAAGAATATGCAGCCAAGTTTGACCCTTGCAAGTGTGCTCCATGTCCTAACAATGGCCGACCCACACTATCAGGGACTGAATGTCTGTGTGTGTGCCAGAGCGGCACCTACGGTGACAACTGTGAGAGACGGTCTCCTGATTTTCAATCTAGTAAGTACTAGTAACTTTTAACAAGATAGATCCTATATCCATGCCAAAAACATATTCTAGATTAGTCAGTTAAACAAACAAGCAAACTTTCTGTTAACAACATCTAAAACTCACAAGGAAAATAAAACTTTAAAAACTAAACTCTAAAATCAAACAGACCTGGTGTGAGTCTCTAATGTAAACTGTCAGCTGTGTGACCTTGGAATACTTACCTAATATTTCTATGCCTCATTTTGTTTATCCATAAAATGATGATAATAATAGTATCCACCTGATGATTTCAAAATATATGTAACCCAACCCTTACAATAAAATAAATAAAATAATATAGCATACTATAGAATAAATAAGCCATACTTATTTATCTTTGTTATTAGTATTATTACTAGAAATCATTTTTTAAATAATTTTTAAACCTCTTATGTATTGTAATAAGGAGCTCTGGTAGCGTAGTGGTTATGAATCGGGCTGCGAACCTCAAGGTCAGCAGTTGGAAACTACCAACTCTTCACCGGGAGAAAGATGAGGTTTTCTGCTCCCGTAAAGATTTACAGCCTCGGAAACCCTGTACAGGGTCGCTATGAGTCGGAACCGATTCCACAGCACATAACAACAACAACATGTAATATAGAATGAGGATGGCCTAGTAATAAGGAAAAAATTAAGTAATAACCAAAGATTTCATACAGGATTAGATAATGTTCATAAATACCTCAAATACTCCTTAGAAAAGGGGTACAGAATAGGAATATATATTCTATTGCCTTAAATATATAATTTAATAATTATTTGAAGATATTTATATATACACACTCATGCTTGCATACAAACACATGAGGGTAAATTTTTTAAAATATTGCTACTAGGGTTTCAGTTCATACATGCATGGGTTCTTTCCAAACAAAATATGTTTAAACATGTCTCTGCAAGCAGTGGATGGCTGCAGAAAAGTTCTCTTATTAATACAGTTGAAATCTCATTAAGGTGCCATCAAAAAATAGGTTCAGTCCAAACAGTGACTTTCAAGTGTATCTGCTATGCCAGTTAAATTTACGGCATAAAGATTAGCTCAGAAGGATATGGTGACTATTTCTTGGAATTCCTAAGAGGTAATCTTGAAAGATTTTTCTTGAATGACACAGGATGATCATAAGAGCTCACAGGAATAAGTGCTAAGAAAATTGAAAACTGTGTTGTTGAAAAAAATCCAGGAAAATTGTGACAATGCATCTATTCACTTTTCCAGAGGACCAAGTACCCTATGAGAATTTCATTGGGAAATTTTACCCCATCCATTCTACAGTCTAATCTTTACCATTCAGACTTCTTTTTGTTTACCAAACTCAAAGAACAGTTAGAAAGGACACAGTTTGAGTCCTTGAGGATGCCAAAACTGCAGATTTGACAAGGTATTCTTTGGGGAATTGGTTATAGAGATGGAAACCCCACCTGCAGATCTAGATGTAGGATATGTTGAGAAATAATAGCTTTACATTTTGATATCTTTGTTTAATAGTTTTCTAAATTTTGTAGCAATGTTAGGCCCCTTAGTGGCCTAATCCAGTAGGAGACCCCAAAAAGATCATCAGGACTCGAGTTTGATGCAACAGCAAGAGGTTTATTTGCCAACGCGCTGGGGTCCACCTTCACTCTTAAAAGCAGGAGACAAAGGCGACCCCGCTTTACAGTATAAGCCAGTTTTTATAAAGTTTTAGGGGCATAATTGTGCAATACCATAGATACAGTTTCTGATTGGTTAACAATTGGCAAAGTATGAGATGTTACAGTTTAATTGGTCAGTACTGGTGGTCTTTGTTCTTAGGCTAGGGCAAAGGAAAACATCTGGCATCTGGCCTTGGGTCCTGTCTATTCATTATCTAGTTCCCGCTGTTGCTAGGGGTGAAAGGATATTCTAAGGCAACAT